AGATCAGGGGCTTTCAAAGAGCTTGCTACGGTGCGCCTCGGATGTGAATAAGTCAGCAAAGCGTTCGTCATATGAATAACAGGCTCAGCTACGGGTAAGACAGCAACATAAAACCTGACCATAGTGCAATCCGGATGGAAGAACGTGTTGGCTGAACGACGAGAATGCGTGTTTGTTATATTGTAACGTTTGTGAAGAAGCGTGGATGAAGAAGTAGCGCCATTGAGGAAACTATCACTCTACACAAGAGTGGAACCCGGTTGGAAGATTTCATAGTATATTCCAGCATTAGTTGATACATGATAATAAAATTATTATTGATGGCAACAAGAATTGGACATGTTAAACCACACACTGGATTGCCTGAAATTACAGTTCGGGAAACCCTCCCCCAGACTCCGATCACAGGTCCGGCTTGGATGGCAGGAATTGATGTTAGATTGATGCTGAATGATGTCTGGCTCGACTGGTACAATTGTAGGTTTATTTGAAAATGTTCTATCTGTACAATTTAACTTAAAATTCACCAAATGGAACACAACTACACAGATTGAATCCAACATGTGTTCGATTTTGACGTTCGTGTTCTATGGGATTGGACGTATCTGATTTTGTTAACAGTCACTTCAATAGACGATTGAAATCATTCATAAGTCACGCTTATGAAATTCATATGTGTCGTTCATAAGTCGAGCCTTATGAAATTCTTACGTTTTTTTTGCCTCAGTGCTTGTGCTGAGGCTCTCACGCAGAAGGACTGGGTTTAATTCTTCAAACAGCTCTAATACTACAACTTTTGCTGATAAATCAATATACGTTCATACCTGACATTAACTTTCATAAAACTGCGAACTAAATATAAAATTATTGTAGAGGACAAAAACCTTTTTTTAACTTATTCTCTAAAAGTTCCGTTCAAGTTCCACCAGAAGCTGCTTAGAATGCGCCTCAATTATGGTACCGGAACTTGGAAGTTCTTATAACGACTTAAAAATGAAGCTGCTTAAAATTCTATAGATCACCTTCAACCAAGCTGCTTAAGTCTCAAATAGCCTTTTATCAGAACTTTTGGTTACTTGGGTAGTATAGATTCTTCTATAACATCACCTAGATCGCTTCAAAGGCTTCTGGAGCTATCAATGTAATTTGTTGAATTCTTTCTGAATTTCTTTTTTATGGCTTTCTCAGTCTTGGGTAATCCAAACGGTCAGTTATGCATAGACTTTTCAACCACCTTTAGTATAAGTGAGCAGTTTCACTAAAACATGCGTTTTCCTGGTTGAACATAAAAAACAAACCGCTGTCAAGTCGAGCACTTTGACAGCGGATTTCGTGGTTGAAAATAATAAACAAATCGATTTTACACGGCTACACTAGCAAGATTGTAGTAGTGATATCTTGCGGCAAGAAGTCAAATGCCCGACGTTTCGGCCGTTTATAGTTTATTGGTCCTTTTGCCATTGGTGGGGGTGGGTGGGTTGGATCACATCTCACCATCCCGCATCAACGGGCGAGTTTGGTAAAGGGGATGCTCTACTAGAGTCGTACCTTCCCAAAAAATGTCCTTTGCTCGCTTTCTACTTTCGATATACAGTTTTCACACTGTCGTACTCTACACGGCCAACTACAACAATTCAGCGACTGAATTCAATTGACTCAGAGCATTTTCTTTCCATTCGATTTTTGTTTTTTGTTTTTTTATTATTAATTCATTTGATAAGGCTCAACCGCATTAACTTTACATAGCCAAGGATTCTCGTTCACTATACAATACATCTTAAAACTATAGTCAAAAGGTACAACACAATAAACATTTTAACTACCGCTATCCAATAAGCCTCCTCCACCAAAACGGGATCCGCTTCCAGTGGTTTCATTGTATGACAGATTCGCCAAGCGCGCCAAGCGCGCAGAGCGCTTCCATTGCAGCAATGGACGCAAAACGTGGTCAGCACTCACACATTCATCACGAAACGGTTGCTTTCCAAAGTCGACGACTCATCGACTGAAAGAACTTCTGACGAAGAGCCATGAGGAGGACCACACAAGTCAAGTAAATAGACGATCGCGTGACACACATTAAGAGAGGTCTGCTTCTGTCGACAGCCGAGTGAACACTCTATACGAAATTTACTCATATTTGGAAAAAATGCAGCTACTTATAGCTAATGAGTAACTGCAGTTTTTTTTTTTCAAATAGTCGTAAATTTCGTATGAAAAAGTTGGAAGGGTTGTATACTAGATACGACCGCAGGGTTGGCGTTGGATAACGTTATGTGTTGTACTTAATTGTGTATATTATATTTTAGGAATATTCCTTAATAACTCTTTTGCGAAAGTTTGGTGGCCCTGAAAAGGGCCATTTTGTTGGGCTGATGTTGTTGACAATGATGGAACGGGCGACCTTGTTGGACGCTTATATAGTAGAACAGAAAATATCAGAGGTGTCAGATACTCGCATACGTACGTTAAACTCTTTCTTGATAATGTTGTGGCCCTGAAAAGGGCCATTTTTCCAACGCGCTCGGCGTAGTTGCCCTTGCGGAGCAGACGGTGAATACGACCGACTGAGAACTGCAGCAGCTGGGCATTCCATGACGGCGACCCAGTATACCGGAGCACTGGCACCAACGCACACGGCGTAGTTGCCCTTTCGCCCCAGGCTCTGCTGCCGCTGCTCTGCTTCCGCTGCTCTGGTACTGCTGCTCTGCTGCTCTGTTGCTGGGTCGACGATCGGATAGACAATGATGGAACGGGCGACCTTGTTGGACGCTTATATAGTAGAACAGAAAATATCAGAGTTGTCAGATACTCGCATCTGATGTCTCGGTTGGAGAAAGTATAAGAATATAAAAAAAATCAATCGATTTTCACCATCTTTAGACAATGGTTTACTTTTAACCATTTTTCAATAGTTTACAGAATGAAATCAATAGTTTTGAAACATTCAGCAAATGTCTAGAAATATTTCCAATCGATTGATGCCATTATCTCGTAAATCTATCGAGAGACGGTTGAGTTATTATCGTTCAAAATCTTTTCATTTTTCGTAACGCATCCAAAATGACTGTTTTCAATTTTGTACCCCCGTATGTTGCCGAAAGACGTTATCCAACGTAAAAAAAAGCCCTGAGTCCATTGAATCCAGTCGCTTAGTTGTCATAGTTGGCCGTGTACCGGAATTATCCACTCTATATTGTCATCTCCTCATCGATCGTATAAATTTTAAGTCTGATATTTGACGTAAAGCATCTCCAACTATGTAAATCGTTAACTTCACGCATGAAGTAATATATTTTTATATATTGATTATGGGAAACGCTCCAATAGTTGCGGTACGTTAGAAGCATTACCTAACGTTTCTAACATACCGCAACTATAGGAGCGTTTACCCTAGTTAAAGTTTTTTTTTTGTGTTGCCAAAAACTGAATATGGTTAAAACAGAATGTGCCAAAATCGGAACACTACTGCATTTACAAAACAGTGTTATCGCGCACGGGCAGAACTTTTCCTACGTTGTGTTTACGGATGTATGAATAAAAGACAGTTTGCGTGACCGTCGTGCCATGGCGGAGATATTCGAGATACTACTCTATTTACTGATAGTGTATAGGGATACAATACAACACAAAGCTGGTAGAGTAGGAACATACGTAGTGGACGTTTGCACAAATACAGTGTTCTGGAGCATTTCACTGCCACACTAAATTTAATTTTAAAACCACATGGATATTAATTATACGAAGATTTTTATAGTATAAATCAATTGAACATTCTTGTTTACTTACATTTTAATTTGTTATTCACATAAAATTCAAATTGTTACAAATAAATACGTGCCAGAATAAAAAAAGTTTTTTTTTATTCAGGAAGTGTGGAAGCATTACATGTATCCAATTGATACATCGATGTGTTCATGCGGGGCTTATTGTAAATATATGAAGGAGACTTCATAATGTACGTGTAGGAACAGGCATTCTTGAAATGGGTCACTGGATGTACAATAGAGCTGTCACCTTCGATCTCCAGGGCTAAAAATGTTTGCACCTATGATACAGGATAGATGCAGACAGGTTTCTTCCATAAAAACACTGCCAGTTCAGTGGGCGATGGATTGTGTCCATAAGAAGAAGAAGAAGATAAATCAATTGAACATTCTTGGATAGTAAATGTTTTGCACAATTGAATGCTGTATTTAAACTAAAAGGATTCCTGATTGCCATTAATAAGCCATAATAAATCAGAGTATAGTAGGGTGGTTCAAAATATCGATTCTCAGTCAGGTCCTCATCATTCAACAAACATTTGAGTTCATTTGGTTGCTTGGAACTTTCTGGAAGAACAATTTTTAATTTAACAAGTTACAGGCCAAATGTCCAATATAAAAGTTATAACAAAACTGGACAGCCTAATCTCTCAGCTTAGTTTTGTTCTTAAACTATTTCATTAATGAATTTTAATTTAACCTAATTCAGTATATATGTTATTAAGCGTCTTGTATCTATGGGTTATAATTTTAGGTTTTGTCTATGTTCAATAGCTAAAATATCCTCAAAAACTTCGTATAATAAATAACCAAAATGAAACGTTATCTTGAATCCAAATCTCAGCTTCCAATCAAATCCAATTGCTCACATTTCTCTTTCCCGGAGCACGCGAATATAATTCAAACACTTTATCAACCATCGCAACCGTCACGAATGCCGAAGCAGTCCGTCTCCAATGATATCTTATCTCTTTGCGTACAAGATGTCTCTTTTCTTCCTTTTTTTGACAGCATTGTGTATACTTTCCGATTTTTCATTTAATTTAATCGCTTCATTCTTCTTCTCACGAGACGCAGCCAAATCCGTCCCGTTTCAACGAGCAAAATACCAACAAACCATTTTTGCTTCCAGCAACGAAAAAGAGCACACGCAAAGAAAAACGACGACACAATTGTTAATAATGTTCTTCCCTTTTCTGATGTTTTCCTTTTCCTGTTTCCATTTTATTGCAGATACGACTACGAGACTTTATTACAAAATTCAACATTCTGCCTGGTGCCGAGAGGACGTCGTCTAGGATCGTTTAGGTAAATATTTGTCCTTCTACCACGCATCCTCACCCACCTCCTCCGCAATTCAAATTCCCCTCCGCCCACTCGGAAGAAAAGACCCAAATCCGGAGGAAAGGACATTCTCACGCTCACCGGCTGCTGCTGCTTCTTTAGTTTCTTCAGAGGGTCCAGCGAAATTATGTGATATTTCATGAATATTTGATGCCGTGACTGCTGCTGGCACAAACTGCTCCGAGTCGTCCTTCTTGTCATTAAAAGCATAAAAAAGGCAAGGATCGGTTTTCTGCTGATAGTAACACACTGAATTTTCGACCGACTTTTTATCCGGCTTTCAGTAAGGAGCCATCCTTCTTTTTCCCAGTGTGAAATTTTACGCCCAAAGCTAGCAGTGCGGCTCTTTTTTCATCACGGCTCCTGTACGGGCTAGATAAATCGGGAAGGACGAACGCACGGCGATGGGAGTGAAATTAGATTACCACGAGGAGAAAATTCCGTAATTTCCTTTTCGCAAATTTGCGATGGGAGCTAATTTTTACGAAAGCTGCTAAAACTGAAAAGTGGCTTTATTAATTTGGATAATTTCGTTTAAACTGACTTGGGGGGTGCTCAATGTCAGGTAGACTAGGGCTTTTCCCATGGAGATGACATTCTAGGTGGGAAATTTTTCATTGAGAACATTAGACCATTTTGCTGCCATGATATGATGTTCGGGAATTGAATTGAAATATTTACATCAACATTAGTTTCGCCTAGATATTTGTCTTTATTGCTTCCCTTGGAAAATAAGCAAATCCTCATTATCCTAAACTTACTATTTTACTTATGTATCCTGTACTTCTCTAGTGGTGCATAGCGTCAACCTCCATCTAATCCTTTTTTTTTTTTTATCTAGTTCGTTTATTTGGGAGGCTCAATCGCGTTAGCTTTACGGAGCCGATAATTCATTGTTCACTGTGTGTAACAAAATTCACTTAATTCTATGTCTAGTAGGAGTTGGGCCGATTACTCGCGGCTTACTCGAGGTTAGAAGGGTACATTTTCGAAGGATAGGATCAGGGGAGGAGCTTGGGGTAGGGTTTCGTTGTCTCATCAGAGCGTTGTCGCCAATATGAACGGTAGTGCTGTTCTAGCTTCGTCCGGAGTTCGACCGGCTATGGTGGGTGACCAGTGGGCGACGATGAGACTCATCGAGACGGGGGGACAAGACAAACAAAAACTAATAAAGAGAGACAAAAGACAAAAGGAATTAAATTCTTATACTAGACATTTGAAGAAAAACATAAACGGACTGCATATAGCAGAGATCACGGGTTGCCAACACGTCTCTGATAGGAACATAGGGTTGTCTTCCTTGGGCCTCGAGGGTATTCAAAAGTCGCTCTCTGGCGGCGTCATTATCCGTACATTGCCAAACTGCGTGTTCGATGTCATCGTAACCGTTTCCACACCGACAGATGTTGCTGTCCACGAGGTTTATTCTATTGAGATGAGCATCTAGCGAGTAGTGGTTGGACATAAGTCTACTCATCACGCGAATGAAGTCACGACTTAAGCCCAAGCCTTTAAACCACGCTCTCGAAGAAACATTAGGAATAATTGAATGTAACCACCGTCCAAGATTTCCAGTGTCCCAATCGGTTTGCCAACTCGAAAAGGTACTCTGACGCACTAAATGGTAAAATTCATCGTGTGAAATTAGCCTGTCATACAATTCGCCTTCCTGCGCGCCCACCTTTGCGAGAGAGTCCGCCTTCTCATTGCCTGGGATTGAGCAATGTGAGGGGACCCATACAAAGGTAATCATATATGATCTTTCGACCAGCACACACATCTGCTCCCTTACCTTTGAAAGGAAATAAGATGAGTGCCTACCTTGTTTCATCGACCGAATAGCCTCAATCGAACTGAGACTATCCGAGAAGATGAAGTAATGGTCTGTGGGCATATTGGAAATCATCCCCAATGCGAAGTTGATTGCTGCCAGCTCAGCAACAAAAACGGAACAAGGTTCCTGAAGTTTGCGGAAGGCGCTAGAGTTTTCATTGAAGACACCGAAGCCAGTGGATCCATTGAGACGGGACCCGTCTGTAAAATATCTTTTCATGCAATTGACTTGTTGGTACTTTTCAGTAAAAATACGTGGGATAATAATAGGTCGAAGTTGATCGGGAATCCCATGAGTTGCTTGTTTCATGGTCAGATCATATTCAATTGAGGAACTGCGATTGGTGAAGTGAACACGGTCTGGAGTATAACAAGGAAGACACATATCTGATGATATGTAGTGGTGGTAGATTCTCATAAATCGAGATTGTGTGTTCAACCCAAGAATTTCTTCAAAATTAGCAATTATAAGTGTGTTTGTCACTCCGCATTTGATTAGTATTCTGAGAGAGAGCTCCCAGAAACGGTTCTGGAGGGGTGTTACTCCTGCCAGAACCTCGAGACTCATGTTATGCGTTGAGTGCATACAGCCTAGAGCAATACGCAGACAACGATATTGAATTCGTTCCAATTTTATTAGGTGACTTTTTCTTGCCGAGAGAAAGCAGAAAGAGCCGTACTCTAGAACAGAGAGAATAGTTGTTTTATAAAGCGTTATGAGGTCTCCCGGATGAGCACCCCACCATGTGCCGCAAATTGAACGGAGAAAGTTGATCCTCTGCTGACATTTTTGCTTCAAATACGTAATATGGGCATTCCAAGTGCACTTTGAATCAAACCAGACCCCAAGGTACTTGAAAGACAATGATTGAGTAATGTTTCTGCCCAAAAGATTAAGATGCATTTGGGCTGGGTACCGCTTTCGAGTAAACACTACCAGTTCAGTTTTCTGCGGCGAGAATTCGATCCCTAGATTCATAGCCCAAGAAGACAAGTTATCTAAGGAATTTTGCAATGGTCCTTGCAAGTCCACGGCATGTGGACCTCTTACGGAAACCACACCGTCATCTGCAAGTTGTCTTAGCGTGCATTGTTCTGCCAAACAGTTGTCGATATCTTTGACGTAAAAGTTATAAAGAAGAGGGCTGAGACATGAGCCTTGGGGCAGGCCCATGTAGCTAATTCTGGAAGTTGTCAGTTGTCCAAGGGAAAAGTTCATTTGCTTTTCTGACAACAAATTGTACAAGAAATTATTTAAAATTCCAGAAAGTCCACATCTGTGCAGATTGTCTGACAGAATTTCAATGGAAACTGAATCAAAAGCCCCCTTAATGTCCAAGAATACTGAAGCCAATTGCTCCTTGTGCGCAAAGGCCAGTTGAATATCTGTGGAAAGCAGCGCTAGACAATCGTTTGTTCCTTTGCTCTTGCGGAACCCAAATTGTGTATTTGATAGCAAGTTATTTGATTCGACCCAGTGATCGAGTCTCCGAAGGATCATTTTCTCCAACAATTTCCTAATGCACGAAAGCATAGCAATCGGACGGTATGAGTTATGGTCAGACGCTGATTTGCCAGGTTTTTTAATGGCTATTACTTTGACCTGTCTCCATTCAGGCGGTACAATGTTGTTTTCTAGCAAGGAATTGAATAAATCTAGCAAGCGTCTTTTAGCGATATCTGGGAGATTTTTCAGAAGATTGAATTTAATCATATCGCTTCCCGGTGAGGAGTTGTTCGATGAAAGAAGAGCCATAGAGAAATCCAGCATTGTGAATGGTCTATCCAGAGAGCCGCCGCTAGGAGACGCTTCTCGAAGAATATTTTGTGCTGGAACTGAGTCCGGACAGACCTTTTTAGCGAAATCGAATATCCATCGGTTGGAGTATTCTTCACTCTCATTGAAAGATGAGCGGTTACGCATGTTGCGAGCCACCCTCCACAAGGTGTTCATTGAGGTTTCTCGTGAGAGTCCCTCGACGAAATTGCGCCAATAACCGCGTTTTTTTGCTTTGATTAATTGTTTCAGCTTTATCTCAAGCTTTGAATATTCCTCGAAGTAAGTGGAGGTTTTGTGTCTACGAAAAGCTTTGAAAGCATCAGATTTTTCTACATACAATTTTGTGCATTCTTCGTCCCAACCAGGTGTGGCTGGTCTCCTTTTAAAGGGTGCACTTGGAACTTTTCTTTTTTGTGCTTCCAGTGAGCTTTTGTAAATCAAATCGGCTAGGAATCGATATTCTTCCAATGGTGGAAGCGCATCTATTGATTCGACACCGATTGTCACCGCCGTTGCATATTTCTGCCAGTCGATGTTCCTTGTAAGATCAAATGGAACCCGAGATGGTTCTGCAGAGTGAGGGCCACACTTTATTGAAATGATGATTGGCAAATGATCGCTACCATGGGGATCATTGATAACCTTCCACTGACAATCCAATGATAGCGATCTTGAACACAAAGATAGGTCGAGTCGGCTTTCTCGAGCCGGAGGTTTTGCTATACGTGTCGCTTCACCAGTGTTCAAAATAGTCAAATTGAAATCGTCACATAAATCGTAAAAAATAGCCGCTCTATTGTCGTCATATAGATCGCCCCACCCAGTACCATGGGAGTTCATATCACCCAGAATTAATACTGGGGATGGAAGAATCGAAACTAGATTCCAGAGTTGACTACGGCTAATGGAGGTTCTTGGTGGAACGTATACTGAAGCTATGCAAAGATCTTTGTTCTTCACATTTATTTGGCAAGCAACGATTTCGACGCCGGATAGAGCAGGAAGGGAAATTTTGTAGAAAGGGTAGCACTTTTTGATCCCTAAAAGTACTCCTCCATAAGAATCGTCTCTATCCAGGCGTATAATGTTAAAATCGTGGAAGTTGAGTTCTTTATCGGAAGAAAGCCATGTTTCACAGAGAGCAAATATATCACAATCAGAATTGTGAAGTAAAAATTTGAACGAGTCTAGTTTAGGCACTAGACTACGGCAGTTCCACTGTAGCACAGTGATCATATCTTCAACCTCGTTCGACGAATTATCCATCGAAAGATATGATTGATGCAAGGAGGGGCCATGAAACAGTCAATTGCTTAAGATATGATTCTAACGTTGGAAGCAAGGCAGAAAC